GCCACTTGCCAAATCAATCTCTTCCAGCTCCCTCCTTAGATGTGCATTCTCATCCTTCTCTTTTTCTCTTTCTTTGCTCATGTCATCTTCTCTGCCTTTCCTCCTATTTCCAGCTTTTGAAATCCTATTCTTTTTTCTTTACCCTTTTCATAAATCCTTCCCCAGCCCTTGTACATTCCAAATTCCCATAGTGTTTTGTATGTCTTGTAGCATTTGTGAAAATTTCCCCCTTTATTATGTTAGATATTTTTAGTTCTCTCTGCAAACTAAATTGAAATTTCCTCAAGAACAAGGACCTAGTCATAATCATCTTGGTTTTTTCCATCATTCCCAGCATACTGCTTTGTAGCCAGCAGGTTATCAATATTGAGTGAACAGGTAAAGCCAAAGAACCGTTAACTCCTTGTGAGGGAGTCAAAACATAAGCCAATGAGCAATATCACTCCACAGTATGCTAGAGAAAATGATAAATGAATCCACATACCTAGAGAAAGGAATCCTCCCACCAAATAAATAGAAACAGGATTCCTGGGAGAGATAGTAGCTGATTCTGAATCTAGGGCAGGAAATGTACAAATTGAGCCTAGAAGATTTTGTCATACGAGTACCAGAAAGCAATGAAGCTATCTAAGACTGCTGGGGTTCTGTCAAAAGGACTCAGGAATTAACGTGGAGTTCTGACTGATCAAAGATGGGACAATCTGAACATCAAATAATAATAACAGTAGTGGATTGAAATATGTCCAATTTGTTTAAATCCATGAACTTACAAGGATTCTAAAAAGAAAAGAAAAAGATTGATCACCTTTGGAAAAACTTAGGAAACTCATTTATCATTCTGAAAACAGGTAAATAAAGGAAAGAATAAAGCATTTATGCTACCTTTTCTATAGGAATTATATCTGAAATAAAGTTTATTATTACTGAACTCTAATTCACACATGAAGACAGAATGATACAATATCATTTCAAAAATATTTTTTAGAATTAAAAGAGTACTTATCTATTCAGCTAACTTTCCCTGCCTCTTTTCTAACTTAAAACAAAAAAGGCTTTGAACCAGAAGCTTTATGAAGAAAAATTCAGAGTGGAAAGTTCAGTAACTCTTTTATCTTAGATTGCAGTCAAAAGGCAATTAAACAAATAATTCCCCAGTTTGGAGAATTATTAACACCTCTAAGAGAAATATTAACACCCCTCATTTAGGTCTTGGTTTCTTAAATGTTTTTTGGGCTTTTATGGTCTTACTCATTGTACTTCCTGTTTTTGCCAATCATTTCAAGAGATCCTTCAAACTACTCCAGTGTGGATTGTATTGACCTTCCTAGTCAATGCAGGAATGGAGATAGAACTGGACTACAACATACTTCAGAAGTTTTAGTCTCCATAGGGCCTTAAACAGTTTTCAAATAGATCAAAGTGAACATGGGTCCTTTAAGTGGGGTTTGTGTGAAGAGGCAATAGACAAGGCTGACTGCATACCATAAAGTAAACATATTAACTCAAAAGCAAAATAAATAACTTGGGTAGGATAATAGAGAAAAACCCCACACGAATGGTGGTCAGCTTGTGTAGCCTTAATTCTGATTTTTAGTAGTCTCATTGGCACAGCGGGTAATTGTGGATTTTTCTTCCGCAAATACCTTGTTTCCCTGATTCAAACATACCTATTCATTCATGTTTTAATAGTTTGGAAATTTGCACGTAGCTTACAATGCATGTGTATAATTAATTCGGCAGTGTTCCTACGGCCTCCTTAACCTGCCCAGGAAGCTTTTAAATTGTGTGTTTACAATCCGTTTTGTCTTTGAAGCTTGGAAATGCAGTAATAATGTTTCTGGGTGAATTTTGAAAGCATGTTTCAAAGTATTTTCTTCGTAATACTATATATACTATATATATATAATACTATAATCACATAGTTCCTGTGTAAGTGTTAGTAAAAAGGGTTCAGGCATGCTCAGTGGTCAAATAAGTTTGGAAAATGCATCATGATGGACAGAAAGGCTGTTAAGCTCAGAGAAAACATGTGAATAGAAAGGCTGTTAAGCTCAGAGAAAACATGTGGATTAAAAAATTTAAAACTCTTCCAACCTCTTTTTTTAAATGTCGTTTTTTCTTTTCTTTTTTCTTCCAACCTCTTTTACTCAAGTATTTTTTAAACTCATCTGACTCCCCAAAATCCTTTTTTGTTAATATCTACTAGCACTCCATTTTGGGAAGTGCTTCCATATAGAATTGATTCACACAAGTTTTAAAACAAAACATTTTTGTCAGGGTTGCTTTAAGTACTTGCCTGTTGCATATTAAAGAGTTAACTAACATTTCTGTGCATCTAGTTGTCACAAGACCCTTTTCGACGGTAAGGTTGGTTAGCCTAGATTGTCAGTGTCGTCAGACGTGGTCTTTAACTGCCTTCAGTAGTGCAGCAACCCTGAATTGCCCAGTCACTGTAAGCCCTTGGTCCATCTCACAGGCTGCACATCAGTCCAGTTGCTGGGCTTCCGGGTGATATTTCTGAGCAACAGAAATTCCGATGTAACATATCACAGGTTGTCAGCTTGACACTGTAAGTTGCAAATGCATGTTTTTTTAAAAAACAACTTTATTATCCATTTAAATATACTGGAATAAAGTATCAATATTGCTAGATCTTCTTGCATTGTGCTCCTATATTTATTGTAGCCTGTTTATAGTAATTCTGTGGGGGAACCATAAAGGGTGAGGGGGGGGTTAGGTGGTTCTTGTAAATGGAGTGAACCCTATCATTCTCATAGTAAGAGACATCTTCACCCCTGAGTAATGGAAGCTATAAAATATTCATCAGCCAGGTTCTTTGACATATTCAATAAACATTTATTAAATGCCTGCTTTGTACCAGAATCAACCAGTCCTTGCTGCCCTCAGAGTTGAATCTAGTTGGTGAGACAACGGTGTATAAATGATAAATATTCAAAATACAGTGTGCTTAGTGTTATAATAAGTAAATATAGAAGGACACCTAACCAGATACTGATCTTTTGGTGAAGAAAGTGGAAAGTCTGAGCCTGGAGGATAAGGTCCTGCCGGCCTGGGGATAAAGGACATCACTGATAGACAGGACAGCTTGTGTAAAAGGCATGGGGTTGTGAAAAGTAAGCTATTTGGAGATGCAGGTAGCCTTGTTTTTGTGTAGGGTATTTATGGTAGCAGGATAGAGGATGAGACCTGAAAGGAAGGAAGGAGCCCAGTGGTTCATGGCCATAATTGCTATGTTAGGGAGAGAGTTTAAAAGACTGCCCCATGGATGGTTCTTGATCTGTGTTAGCACGTTTCATGTAATAAATTAGTTAATGAAAATTAATATTGAGTAAACTGTGCTAAATTACTTGAATTTCATGTGTATTTCCAGATGACAGAGTAGTGATATTATTTCCTATTTGTAATACCATCTGATTCATGGGCCTGAGTACTTAGTAAGTTACCCTCCTATAAGTGCATTAGCTCTAATCTTTAAAATGAGTTTTACTGAGGTACAATTTACGTACAACACCAACTTAATGTGTATAATTCTGTGAGTTTTGACAAATGTAGAGTCATATAACCACCACTCTTCTAATCATGATATAGTATATTTTTATCACCCTGCACTAACTCTTAATTAGAGTTTGGTAAACTAAATAAATTAACTCCTTGAACCCTGGAAGATGTAATATCTGAAGAATAGAGAAATAAAAAACTATCAAGGGCTGGCCGAGTGGTGTGTTGGTTAAGAGTTGGCTTGGGATGCCAGCTCTGAGCAGCAGGGCCCCGGTTCGGATCCCACATTAGGGCCAGTGACACTGCGCCCTCTACAGCTAAGATGGTGAACAACAGCTCAACTTGGAGCTGGGCTACCGTGAGTCGCCGGCGACGGCATAGGCTGCAGTGGGCTGCCATAAGCTAGTGGGCTGCCATGAGTGGCTGGCAGCCGGCGTGAGCAGCCGGCAGCCAGCTTGAGCTGCCAAGAGCCACCATGAGTGGCCGTCCAGTGACCGGTGACCGATCTGCCTCACCCAGGAAGAGAGCAGTGATAATACCAACATCTGCCCCGGGAAGTAACGTCCTCCACAATTAGACTGAAGAACAAAAAGGACAGCAACTTGTCTGTTCCCCTCCCCCAATTCCCCAATTAAAAAAAAGAAACAAAAAAAGCTATCCATCTTTAAAGCAGCCCCCTCCCCCCAATTTTTTTTTCTTCTATAAAACCCACACACTAAGAGAAGCTCTGTACAGGTGCTGTTTGGGGTGGGGGTAGGGGGGGTAGGGGGGGTTGTCTCTTGAAATCTTCAGAACGAAAAGGGGGAAGTAAGAAGCAACAACAGTAAGAAGTTGTCTATATAGTGACTGGTGTAATGTTATGTCGAGATGTTTGGGGTTGGAAAAAGAAACAACGACCAAGAAAACAAAACCAAAATTTTAAACTAGAAACCTCAGATTTGAATTTTAGCAAACAGCTGTGATACTTAGCAGCAGAGTTGTAGAAGCAGTTTCACTTGTCTGAGGTCTTCATTTTCTCACTCCTAAAATGGGGAATTGAATGGCATATTCCATGCTGTATTGTGCAGAACTTGAGAGTTTTGCGAGGTGTGGGTATGAGTTACAGGTTGGGGACAGGAGAATTAGGATAAGGGCTAAATTTTAAACTGGGGAGTAGTTGGACTTACAGGCAGATAGGGAAGAAAGTGCATTTTCTCCCCTCAGTTGTATTTCCATATATTCAGTTGACCTTTTATTGACTTGTTGTAGCATTGGAGGTTAGGCCACTTTTTGAAACAATTCTTTTTGTAATTCGACCTTGTAATTGTGATTCATTATGGATAAGGATGAGTTTCTCCAGGGGAATGAATATTGTCATTAAACCACCAGATTTATTTTATTTCCCAGAAGTCATTATATTACAAGAATAAATATATGAGAGGTATGAAGATATATATTTTTAAACAATTATTTTATCCATCTTATTTGTTTGTTTTAACCAGTTACCCATGGGTGTATTGTTTCCACAATAAAACTTTTTCTACCAGATGGTATGGAAGCCCGGCTCCGCTCAGAGTGAGTATATTATAGTGCTGTGAAGTTTTTGTATTAATTACCTTGGTTAATAATATTCTAGATGATGGTGTACTGTTAATACTTCAAGATTATTCTAATGTTAGAAAATTTATGTAGTACTTTTGGAATATAATACACCTTCAGTTTAATTGCTTTTCATATTAGTTGTAATTCTACTAAGTAATAATGTATATGGAGGCATAGGTTATTTTGTTTCCAAATTTAACTTTACAGTTTATATTTTGATGGGTAATCGTTTTCCAAACTATTTGAGGTATTAAGTTATTGGTGAGTGATAACTGTATTCATTTTGATCTGCATTTAATATAGGACTTCTTAGACTATGATTTGCCTCTGAGGTTAATGCCAGTGTCACTGTCTTACAGGACCTTACAGGATATTGATGTAGTTAGTAGCGTTTTGGTGGGAGTTTCTGAAGGGATTTTCCAGTGCTCTGATTTTTTTTATGAAACAGTAGAAAGACCACTTAGGGGAGGACAGACTTGAAAGGGAAAAATTAGTCAAAATGTAAATGTTAAAATGTCAACAAAGTACATTTTCATTTGTGCTTTTCACAGATTATCATTATGAAGTGTTGAAGAATGCTAAACAGTCTTTAAACTTCAGTATTTCTTTTTATTTTGGGGGAAAACTTTGATTATGTGAGAAGCTTGTTTCTGTATCCAACATAATATTCTCTGTTTTCCAAAAGCAGAGAAAAAGATCTGAGAGTGGGTGGTTGAGAGAAGCAATAAGTGGAAGGCAAAGTAGATAGAGTAGTGAGTAGGAAAGAGAGAAGGGAAAAAAAGCAGAGGCCCTCCTATTGCTATGATTGTGCTTTCATTGGAATTATGATATATTATGCTTCAGTTAGAAGCTACCGTTTTGTTTTTTTTAAGCTTCAAGGGTCTCTGAAGCAAAGCAGAAATTTTAAAACATTTTAAATTTGGAACATTAATGTTTCCCATTCTAAATTATAGTTTAATTATTAAAAATAAAATTAACTTTGGGAACTTTAATGTGACTCAGCCTTTATGAGTCAAGATTTAAGATTTTAAAAAAGTAAGAGTAACTATCAATCAACTAAGGAAGTATGGCTTCTTAAAGACCTTGATGTTTGCATTTGATAATGAAATTTTTCTTTCATTGAGTCAAAAGCTTTGAGCAGTTACATTAAGGGTCATCTGTCTTCTCAGATTTCACCTAGTAGGGCATGTGAATTTTTTCACTGTTTCAGTGAATTGTGTCTCTATCCTTCTTGTTTCCCTAATGCTTTTCATCTTTGCCCCTGTTTCCGTCTCATTGTTTGGTTTTCCTTATGTGGCTAATATTAGTTGGTATCATTTAGAATTTACTGCCAATTTCATTGTACATAATCTGGCTGACTTTCTGGACAAAATGAATTTTGAACAGGCAAGTCTCTAGAGCTGGAGAAAGATCAGAATGGTTTTAGAGGTGGATATTCCAGTTCAAAGCCTGACTCCACCTGTTCTGTGACTTGACAGGCCTCCCTTTTCTCATTTGAAAATGAAGATAATAATAGTTCCTGTTGAGCAGGAATTTTACGAGGAGGATTAAGCAAGATTGTGCACTGAAAGAGCTTGGCGTAATACCTGGCATATAATAAGCACATGATGTTTCTGTTGTTATAATCTAATATTTTTAGCAATCAGTATACTTTGAGGTATGCCAGAATGCTTAAAATTTAAGGTACATTATATATATAGCATTTAATACATTTAAGATCTTCAGTAATTAGTTCTCAAAAAGGTGATTCTTTTTCTTTCTTGACTTTTATTATGTTGGACAAATCATTCTAAAATGATAGGAAACAAACCCCACCACCATAACACTAAATAACGATTTTTCTTTTCTGCATTCCTTGTTACATAATTAATAGCTTTTTCCATAATTAAAATAGAATGTACTTTTCCATAATTAAAATAGAATGTCTAAGATAGTTTTTGTAAAATACAAATATATATCACTTATGAAATGTTTTGCTGGATTTTTAGCAAAAAAAAAGCTGGATTTTTGTTTTAACCAGATTTTCACGAGAACAGAAAATTTTGTACTTGGTCAGTAAGAAAACTGGATTTTAAAAAACCTCATTAATACCATTTGCTTCTGTTTAGACTTTAAGTTCATTTTCCTATATGGTGCATACCTGCACATAAAAGGATATATACCCAAAATGGTTTTCTCTGGGTGCTGGCATTGGGTAATTTTTATTTATTTCCTCATGCTTTACTTCACGCATTTTCCATAATCAGTATGTATTACTTGTATAGTCAAGAAAAAGAAACTTATGTTTAACATGTCTGTTCCATTTTTATGGAGTAGAGAAGAAAAACTAAAGTTGTATATAATTTTGTAAACCTTCATTAGGCACCAGCTTTGTTAGGGCCTTGTGATGGGTTCTGGGGGTGCAGAGGTGAATTGGTCACAGTGCTGGGGAACATAGACATGAAATCAAAGACGTAGAGTAAAGGATTATATGGTCTCAGTGGAAGTCTCTACAGGATATCAGGGGTGCTCAGAACGGAGGTAGGTGCTGGTACTTAATATTCTATTTTATTCAGCATTCTGGTGTATTTGTGATTAATTGAATTGAAGCAGTTCTTAGTATGTTTGTAGTTATTACAATGGGATCAGAATTGTCAGTCCAACTTTTAAGTCCTGCAAGATCAGTTTCTTAGCAGCTTACATATGCTTAACCAGTTGAATCTAGGAACTTGACCCAGTCAACCTTCAAGCTAACCATCACCAGAGTGACCTTTAGGATATGGCGTGATTAGCAACTGGTAGGGGACATGGATGGCATTTTTTATCTTTGCTCCCTCTATTCACCCCCAATCTACTTAGAGTATCTTAGGATACTCTAAGGGCATTGTAAGGTAGGAACCCTAGCTTTCCTAGCTGCTGTGTTCTCATGGGGGAGGTACTAGTGATCAGGTGCTACTATGTCCTAGGTACTGTTTTAAACTCTTTTTTTATATTAACACATTTAATTCTCACAATAATCCTATGGGGTTGGTTTTATGATTATTCCCATTTTATGGATGAGGAAGCGGAGATCTATAAATGATTAGGTAAGTTTTCCAAAATTACACAACTGGTAAGTAGAGCCAGAATTTGGACCCAGTCAGTATAGCCTGTATAGTCTGAGCCTGGTGCTGAACTGTTATACTACACTACCTCTCTATCAGGAGCACTTTATAGGGCCAAAAGACAATTAGTACCAATTAGTACTATCTGTTTACTGTTTAGTTTTAAAGTGATACACTGAGTTTAGTTTCATACCTACATCTAAGCTTTCAGTTGTTAGTTGTGTGAGGTGGCTGAGTGGAGAAGAAGAGTAATGCTACTGTTTTGATTAGCTGAAGTTGTTCTCCACAAGGACAAGTTTCCAAATCATACTTTCTTTCCAGTAGAACTTTGCTTTTTAAGACTTTCTGTATAGGACTATGTAATTTTAAAAGAACTTAATTTGCATATTTTGAAATTGAAAATGAATAATTTAAGGAGCTTCTTTTCCATATAGAAGTTCTTATAACTAAGTAATCCACTATAGCCCTTACTAAGTAATTGATCCTTAAGAGGCCATTTAATACATTTTGGATTTTGAATTTGTGTTTAGAAATATGTATAAAAGGTACCGTAGATTTGTATATTTATTACCTTGTTTTCTAAGAATTCTATACATTTATGAAAGATTAAAAGTAATTTACATTCTTTTAATTATGTGAAGGCGATTATATATCAACTTGTGGTTTAAGATATTCTGGTACTGTCATACTGTTTCCTCTATTGTCAGGAAATTAGATAAAAATTCTAAATTTTACTTTTCAGTGTCATCCATGCTCCATTACCAAGTCCTGTTGACAAAGTAAGTTGTTAATGATTATTTTTGCCAAACTAATTGAGCTATATTGCTTTGGAAAATGTTTTTTTGTTTGTTTTTAATGTGCTTTATCTAGAAACATTTCTCTTTTGTAACAAAATCTTTAGCGTGCATATAGCTGTATAGTTACTGTGGTCTTCTGGATCTTCAGTATTTGGAGAATTTAAGATGGATGTTTCTTAGGAAAAAGCCTTTGTTATCTCAAGTAAATGGCTGACTGTGTAAACTTAGGAATACTTGTTTTGTGCCCTGCCAGAGGTAAGAAGTGTTTAGTTACTACTGTTTGTTTTGGATTACAGTTCTGTCTAGAAATATTTATTAAAGCTTTCTACCCAGTTCATTTAACATGTACCTATACCTGGAAATATCCTACAAATATGGGCTTATAGAAATTGTTCTTTTATTATCCTTGAAGATCAGTTTTATCCTGATTGGTCAGAAACTTTGCAATAATTACTTGTTAGAAAATATTTTTTCTATTGTTCAAAAATAAAGATCTATTAAACCATAGATGTCATTGCTAAATAGCAAACAAGCAAACAAACAAAAACCAATCACCTTTTGTATCTTTTGACATTAATGTGGATGTTGAGTTTTCTTAGCACAGTAACTAAAGTATTGGAGGAAATATTTTTTCTTTCATTTACATAAAGAATGAAAGCCTGCTTGAAACTGAAGTTCTCTGTTTTTAGAAGTAAAAGCGGTTAATCATCAACTTCAGCAATACCAAGAATTATTTCAGAAGTGAATGATGGCCTTGCTGATTTAAGACTAATTTTAAAAAATAATACCACCTCCCTGTCTTCTAGTTAGCATATTAATAAAGATATACTTTCTTGGCCTAATCAAGAATGATGCTATTAATGATCATTAGTAACTAACAGTAATGACTTTATCATGAAGAAGTTAAGTTATACGGCTTGATAATGTTGAGGATGTGGGTAAATGTTACAGCAACCTGTCACTGCCCTTCTTTTCATTGTTGGTTTTTTGTTCTTTTGTTTTCATTTTTCCTTTTGAATACTATGGTTTTATATTCCACCCCCTTATAAAAGGTACTTGTTCTTATACTCTTGAGGTCTAAGCATTTGACTGTGATTCGTAATGTTTAAACACCATTATTTCCCATCTTTTCCTTCTTAAAACCCACCCATAGTTTAAAGAGGGGAAAAAAAAGACAAAACTATTTTCATTGCCCCTGGCGGTTGGACACAGTGTTATATTTCATGTTCTGCCACTTCCCCACACCCCCACATACAAATATCTTCTGAAGATGGCTACTTCTAAATGAATTGTGACTTGCTGACATATTGAAGAACTATTTAAATATAAATTTGAAAGGGGGAAAATGTAGCGCTGTTGATTTAGGAGATATTATTTCTGGATTAAGGAAAGGCTGTATAGCCTTTGTGCTATAAGTTTGTGATTTGGTTTATTAAGGAATGTTTTCATGAGTAGCATTTGTTGCATCACTCTACTTATAAATATCAAACTGGTCACATAATATAATACCATTTACAAATTCTAGACATGGGGCAGAAATGTTTTTAGAACTAAAGGAATTGGTTAATTTGAAAAATAATTTTTATTTTGCATATTTCAGTAAATAGACATTTTAAGGACTTGGTTTGGCTTTAATGTCTTTCATAAATATTTTGCATGACTATTGACATAATGTCATTTTGTTTCTAGGTTGCTGCTAACACTCCAAGTATGTACTCTCAGGAACTATTCCAGCTTTCTCAATATCTACAGGTAAAAGTAAATCTTGAAAATTCTTAGTCTTTAAAAGCAAAATTAAACAATTTAGGTTTTTTATTTTGCTAGTTCACAAATATCAAATATAGGCTTAAGAAATATTGGTTGAATGTAAGTACAAAATAAATATCTTTTCAAAATAATAAAAGGATTAAAAATAGGTCTTAAGAAAAAAGAATCAGGATTGCTAAGTCTAGAGAAGATAAGATTCTGTACAAGAAAAGTTTTTTCCCTTCAAATGTGAGGAAGTTCAAAAATAGTTCTTTATCTGTAGATGACTTTTAAATAAAATTAAACCTAGAGAGATTTTGGTTGCTTAATATGATAGAAATAGCAAATAATTATATAGCACTTATATGCCAGACTCTAGTCTAGCACTTTACCTATATTAATTCATTTAATCCTTGCAACAATTCTATAAGGTATGTATTTTATTCTCATTTGTATAGATGGAGTAACTGAGGGACAGGAAGGCTAAATGATTTACACAATATCACACACCTAGTATGTGGTAAAGCTGGAATTTGAACCCAGTCAGACCTCAGAGTCTCTGCCCTTACTGACTATGCTGTGCTGCTGGATTTATGAAAAGATTTCTTGATAGGATGGATACTAGGAATGGAAATTAATACCATACTTAAAGGGCCATACAAATCTCTAATAAGGAAACAAATGGTTTGTTTGTTTTTTCTGGTTTTGATAGATTTGGGATGGGTTATGGTTCTTATTATTCTGGTGAGGGAGCATAGTTAAGGAAACCCTGAATCAGGAATTCAGAGATTGAGGTTTTTACCTTGGCTCTGCTGCTCAATGAGTTTTGTGACCTTGGGTGAGTCACTTTATAGGTGTAGGTCTTCGGTTGCCTTTTATTTAAAACCTAGGACCAAACCAGTGTCCCTGGGTCCCTACATTCATTTATAGGAATCAATAAGAGTAGTTCTACCTCAGTTAAGAATGTACATGTCTAGCTCTGAGCAACAGGGTTGCTGGTTCCATTCCCGGCCCGAGCTGAGCAGCCGTTGAGCTGCCAACAGGTGGCAAGATGACTCAGCTAAAAAAAAAAAAAAAGAACGCACACATCTGTGGAAATAAACAAAAAATTATCGCTATATTAATCAGATCTTATCTTCCACGGGGCATAAGGTAATGGTAACATAGGAAAGCAGCTTTAAACACTTGCAGTTTAGTGGAATGTTTAAAAGCACAGACTCTGGCCCGAATTCCCTAGACTTGCTCTGTGGCTTTAACTTGTGACCTGTTCGGAAAGTTGTTTAACCCTTTTGTGCCTCATTTTCCTGTAATATGGGTATAGTAATAACACCTCACAGAGCTGTGAAGAATAAATGAATTAATATATGACAAACACAACAATGCTTGGTCCATGGAATGTATGCCATAAATGTTAGTAGTTGTTTACTATTCACTAGGAAGGCACATTAATTGGCCTAGATCTTTCTTATATTTAGAGGTGGAAATAAACTTTGAGATTTAGTCTAACCTTCATTTTTCATATATGAAATATAGGGCTCGTTTCCCAAGGCTATACACTAAAGTTACTAGTCATAGTGAAAGCCGGATTGTTAGGGCTCCACGAATATCGATTAAAATATGTGGAGAAACACAAGCGCTGGGCCCTCCAAGGGGGTACGTTTCTTCCATGCTCTGCTGAAAGGGCTCCTGTCCCATGAGGATGTTTTGTGAGGCTGTTGCTTCTTCGCTGACCCCAGTTAGCACCCCCTTTTACACCCCGCTGGGACAGGCAGGCACTCCCTTTTGGGCATTTTCTTTATCCAACTCCTGGGACTCTCCATCCTAGAGAGGGCAGAGTTAGGTGAATGGATCGTTTTTTATTTTCCTTCCTTAAAAAGGATTTTTGCGGCTTCGCTAGAAGAAAAGAAAGCTCAGGAAGTCAAAATTGTCTGGTGTCCAGTCAATCCCCAATTCAGTCATGAGGCAGAAGAGGCAGGATATTGTCCTGGAGACAGGGATTATACAAAATAGTTTCTAAGAAAGCCAGTTAGCCCAGGATATATTGTAGTTAATATTTCTCTAAATTAGGGTTTAGTTGGCACTCCTTGGTCCAGGGATTTGGGGGCCTGTGAGGGTGAAATTTTGTGACTTCATGGGGGCTTGGCCTCTTCAGGTGTCTTTGACCAATCAGTACACTTCTGCCAGGATGAGCCTTTGATAATATAATCAAGACTCTTATAGGCAGATGACCCACTTGATATTTAAAAAAAAACAACCATACACTGTTTAGGCTTTTCTATAATAAAGCTAACAGCTAAACAACCATGTAACCATTTTATTATTTAAAAAAATAAAATAAAATAAAATAAAATAAAAATAAAGTTACTAGTCATTATGGACTGTGAATCTATCCACCTGTCTTACTTATTCCAGTACTCTAACTTTCTTGTCAGTTCTTTGAATATTCATAGTAGGCATAATCTTTTTCACTGTTCTTTTTCATTCTTTGAAAGAAAATTATACTGCATTGTCTTTTCTGTATACAACTTTTTGAATTGCTGAAGCTTTGATGCAAATTGCAAATCTTTTGAATAAAAACTGTAATAGATGCATTTCATGCCTTAGAACTAAAAATCCATTCCTGGAAGTATGAAATTTCTGTTAGGATGTGGTTCCTGGAGTTACGAAACCCTAAATGGAATTGAGTTAAAAAAAAGTGAAATTACACCATCTAGTGGAAATAGTGGTTATTTGGTGGTTTGCTTTTAAATAAAACTTTTTGCAGCATGAGTGTAATTTTCTAAATATTAGGAATATTCTAGAAGTTTAAAATAAACTTGGCAACTAGTCGCTTGTAAGTATATAAGCTTTGTTTTAATGTGGGTTCTGAGGCAGTATGGCTTTTATTAGATTCCTTAATATATACTTTTAGAGTTATATTAAAAAACAGTACCTCCAACTCTAATTGGACCAGCTTTTCCCTAATCATTATTTATCAAGGATGTGGAGCAATAAGTGCATGCTTTAAACCTCAAGTACTGTGTTTGAGGCATATACTTCTTTGTTGAAGTGGCTCATAGGTATTAGGGTAGTAAGTGTTCTTCTTTAGATAATGACAGAAATAGAAGAAAGAGAAATTTAAAGATGTGCCAAAACCACAACTGAATGCTGTGTGAGCATTTTCACCTTGACTTCCAGTGAAGGATATCCTCTTGACAGCAATCAAATGTTAACAAGTGACTTAGAGATAAGGCTTTACTTTACTTGCCAGAGTCTTTCTCTGTAAAAATACTCCTTTGGAGCTGCCAAGTAGTTACATAACTCTTTGACCCCTTAATTGCACTGAATCAGCAGTTGGTGAACTCTTACTTTTGGCATATTTAATTGCTGCTAAGTGGTATACACTCACAGAGAGAATCAAAACACCTGAAAATGCAATAGGCTTTGTGAGTGAAGCAGCTTCTCTTTTTAAAAATAGCATATATGTATTTATATATATATACAACATTTTAAAAAGGAAAAATTAAATGATGTTTTTATTTTCGCTTTCATAACTATGCAGCTAAGCCATCAAGATGTATTTGCTACTGACCAGATTGTTTTGGCTTAGTTTGGAATGAGTTTGTTATGAGATTGATAGATTGATTGATTGATTTCTATAAAATGCAGGATTAAAAACACTTGTTGGATTATTCTGCTGTAGGTGTTTTTTTGGTTGTTTTTTTAACGCACTCTTGTGAATTATGCATAAAAAGAAAACAAGGTGACTTGTTTTCTGTTATAGGGGAAGTTACAGCTAGAGCACCCTTAACAGCAGTACTCACAGCTCAAGAATGAGGTTAAAATGATGTGGCCTATATATATTTTTACAAAGTAGATTTATCAAGTTTGAAAGCAAGGTACAAAGTGGAATGTAATATGAGAATATTTTCAGAGTGTGCTAAAAATCGATTATTCTTCAAAGGAGTCATCTGAGTTTATTAGAATCTCTTCTGTGATTTATAATATTAGGAGGCCTTACATCGGGAACAGATGTTGGAACAGAAGTTAGCCACGCTTCAGCGGCTACTAGCCATCACCCAAGAGGCTTCCGATACCAGTTGGCAGGTATTCCAGTTGTCTTTATATACAAGAAGCATTTAATCATAGTTTAATATCCCTTACATGTTGATTCAACTAAAACTAAATTTTTTTTAATAAAATTTTGTAGTTAACAGGCAAAGTTATTTCCGAATGAACAAATATTGAAAATTTAGCATTTTACACTGGATGTTGGTTAATTTTATGATTTTCTATCTTTATTTTAGCAATAGCAACCTTTTTGATATATGTTATTTTTTAATTACTCTAGGATTTTTATTTATATTTAATTTTTCTTCAACAGGCTTTAATAGATGAAGATAGACTCTTATCACGGTTAGAAGTTATGGGAAACCAATTACAGGCATGCTCCAAAGTAGGTATTAATCTCAAGTACATGAAGAAAAATGCATAGTTTTTTATGTAGCTTCATTTCTTTGACTCTCATTTTGAGTACATGCAAAAATATTTATACATTTTCACCATTCTTTTAAGTCTTTTGTCATTATGGAAAACTCCAAACATAAGTAGAAAGAATTGTATAGTGAATACCCATGTACATCTCTGTGTTTTTTCCATCACAGTTGATATTCGTTGGAGAATCTGGCTCATTTGTCCTCTATAGCGTCTCTCAGTCTGGATTGTATTTAAACATTCTTCTAGCTCCCCCATCACACCATAAACTGGTAGTTTGATCTAGAGATTTGATCTGATTTAGGTTCAATTCTTTTTTTTTCTAAAACACTTCATGGGTGGTATTGTGTACTTTCACTCGGAGACACCATGATGTCTAGTTTTCTTTCTTTTAAGGTATTAACAATTGTTAATGATTTTTGCCTAGACCCATTATTTTATTAAGTGTTCCAAAAATGGTGATGGGTAGTTCTGTCATTCCTTAATTTATTAGCTGGATTACTTCTATAAAGAGAAACTTCTCATAAACTGTTTGGTTAGCTTGAGGTACATTTTCGTTAGGAAAATTAGGATAAATGGTTTTCTCCCTTTATTTACTAGATTTCTAAATAATCAATTGGTTCCTTCTCATCCACCAAAGAATGAACATAAGCTGTTTTTTCCCCAACTTAGAATTAAATATATTTGATGTGTTTTGACCTATTAAATTTGTTTTTATTATTGATGCTTAAATTACCCCATCTTTGATCCATGGGAACTTCTTCATGTTGGCACCTGAGCCCTTTTAATAGAGCCCTACCAGTCTTTGATAGCTTCCTGCTGTCTTATCAGACAAGATGTTCCAGGCTTATCTTGTACATTTCCTGCCTCAGACGAATCAACTTTTTCCCCCATGGTGTTCTTATTCATTTTGGTTTAACCATTGTTTTAAAATGTATGGGCCTTTTGCCAGCCGAGTGGCTCAGTTGGTTAAGAGCTCGCTCAAGAGTGTGAGCTCTGAGCAACAGGGTTGCCGGTTCAATTCCCAGTCCAAGCTGAACTGCTAACAGCTGCCAATAGGTGGTAGGATGGCTCAGCTAAAAAAATATCCCCACATGGAGTTGAGTCTGTTTACTTAAAAAAAAAAAAATCTCAAATAAAATGCATGGGCCCTTTGAAGGTAATAGATTATTTTGCCCACAAATGTTAAGTATTGTGGCTTATAGGGCATATGAAAAATAGAAGAGTTAATTCATTTGTATATTTGAGAGGAATTCTCAATCTCCTTTGATTTTTTTTTTTTCTCTATTGGAAGTGTGAATTATTTGTGAAGGCATAATTTACTAATGCATCTTTTAAATACAGCTTCAATTAATACAGGGCCAACATCATTTGTGTTTGGAGTTACCTTAATATAGAATTCAAAGAGCATCATAATGTGTTATTTTTTCAAATGGTAAATACTTTAAAAAAATAACTTGGCTATAATTATAAATATCATTTAATCCTAGAATCAAACAGAAGATAGTTTACGGAAGGAACTCATAGCATTACAGGAAGATAAACACAACTATGAGACGACAGCCAAAGAGTCCCTGAGGCGGGTTCTTCAGGAGAAAATTGAAGTGGTTAGAAAACTTTCAGAAGTTGAGGTATTTCAGTTTAACAAATATTAAATATATATGATTTTAAAGTTTTAGCCTAAAATTGCTAACATTTTAGGACATTTTGAAGTTTGATATTATTGTATAGGAAATATTTCCTGTCTATGAGGTGGGAAGGAGCAGTATGCTTTTTCATTGTCAGGAATTCTCAACATAACCATGGAAGTTCTGGTACTTATGGTCCCTAGTTTGATGATTGAGGAGATAAAAGCCTAATAATCAGGGAATCTTAATATTTGTACTCTGCTTAGGATTCATCCTCCACACAGTGGACCGTAATATGCACCAGGGAATTGATCTCCTGTCACCTAGTTTTGCTTTTCTTCCGGTTGAGGATAACCGGTGTAACGCAGAGAATTTACACCAATCGTTCTTACTTTACCCATCCTCCAATGCAAAATTACAGAAGTTATCTGTTCCTAGATTTAGTTAAAATGCTCATTGTAAACTAAATAGTAAACATACCTTAGTATAAGGATAGTTTCTGTAATAGCCCCATCCCATAGTTACTGATTCACTGTCATGTCATTAATTTGACATGCAAGGAAAGAAAGTTTCTAGCTTATAATTTTCTTATTAAATTGATTGCTGCATATTATTAAACTTACTTTCAAGAATGGATAGGCTTAAAATATTTTCAAGACTAAATAAAAGTTGTACTCAATGGCCTTTTAAAAGTGTAATTATATGGGCTGGCTGAGTGGCTCAGTTGGTTAAGAGCTCACTCAGGAGTGTGAGCTCTGAGCAACAGGGTCACCGGTTTGATTCACAGCCCGAGCTGAGCTGCCACTGAGCTGCCAACAGGTGGTAGGATAGCTCAGCTTAAAAAAAAAAAATTGTAATTATATAAAGTTACCATCCTCTCCTCCCTATCGCTGTTTTTTTGTTTTGTTTTGTTTTCATTCTTAGTTGTAGTTTCTGTTTTAGCATTTATCTGAAGTAAATTGAAATCCTTATATTATGTAACTCAGACTTATATAAAGTCCAGGGCAGATGTTGATTTAGAACAGCCCATAGTTATACTTTTTATAAATTGAATTTAGGATGTACATTTATTCTCAATTGCCTATAAACTTGAATTGCAGCGAAGTCTGAGTAATACAGAAGATGAATGTACCCACCTGAAAGAAATGAATGAACGGACTCAGGAAGAATTAAGAGAATTAGCCAATAAATATAATGGAGCAGTTAATGAGATTAAAGATTTGTCTGATAAATTAAAGGTATGTACTTATGCAACCTGAAAGTGTATTAAGTTAATTGTCCTTAGCACACTGGATAGCTTAAGAGTTTAGCTATTGCCAAGTAGTTATTGATGTAAAATTTGAAAATGGTTGAAATTTGTAGTAAAAATAAGGTGTTTGTATTCCATTTAGCCCAAACCCCAGTGTCACAGATAGTCTATAAAAGCTGACATATTTCCTCTGGGTGGAAATAGCACTTTACAATAGGCATCTTTTGATATATAACAAGAAGTGGATGAAAATCAGCAAAACCCAAGATATTCAGACTTTTATACAGTTTGAATCTGCTCATCTGTAGGCAGTCCCCAAATCAGGGCCCAGCTTTGTTAGTGCTGGAACAAGCCCAGAAGGAACGTTGGAATGGTCTGCTTGAACCCTGTAGCCTTTTGGGATGCTGTTGATTCTGCTTCAGCTGCAGCTCCCTGTAGCTGTAGGACCTTTAGGATAAGGACAGTTGAGACCATAGGTGATGGCTAGTTGGTCCTTTCAGATGTTATAACTGAGTTTGTGAAGACCCATCTTTATGAATCATGGATTGAGTGGCTAGAAGATATACATTTGTTAGAGAAGAAGAGAGCATACCTTCCCTCTCTGTGGTTGGGTTAACTTATAGTAGTTTTAAAGGTTTTGTTAAAATGAAGTTGTTTTGAAAAATGCTTATAACCATCATTCCTTTAGTTAAATGTAATTTTTAAAAAAATTTTTAGAATAAGTTACATTTTAGAACTTAAAAGTCTAACTGAAACAATAGTAATTTCAGGGGAAAATCTTATTTCCCTTTTTAAAAATGTGGCATTTTTCATTTTGACCACTTTAGCTCTGTGTGTATTGAGCTGTTTGCTTGCTCCAAGTTTTTCTCTCCGAGGTCATACGGAGCCATGACCTCAGTGCAGATCATTTCTGACATCGTTTTGATATTTACAAATATGTTCTATAAATTAAATCTCCCTCTTAGGACTTTCGTGAATAAAAGGAGTCCTGCTTTAGGCCTCTTTAAACAAGGTCAGGTTTTATTAAATAACTAAATTTTCTGTTTCTTTCTCAACAGGTAGCAGAGGGAAAACAAGAGGAAATCCAACAGAAAGGACAAGCTGAGAAAAAAGAATTACAACATAAAATAGATGAAATGGAAGAAAAAGAACAGGAACTCCAGGCAAAAATAGAAGCTTTACAAGCTGATAATGACTTCACCAATGAAAGGCTAACAGCTTTACAAGGTAAATTAGCTAATCCAGAAATTGATTTGATTTGATATTTTTTCTTTTTATCTGTGAAATACCTTTTTCTTGGACTTTTATTTACAGTACGGTTAGAACATCTTCAGGAGAAAACTCTTAAAGAATGCAGCAGCTTAGGTAGGTGTCATCAAATTTCTTATTTAAAGCTGAACTTTATCATTAAACTTTTGATGTTGACTATCTCATATTGGGGACTTATTTTCTTTAAAAGTGATGTTTTACATGTTAGGTAGAAAGTGTCTACACTCTTTCAGAAAATTCCCTTTAAAAATATGTTTGATTACCACCAGTGGGCACCATTGTTTAGTCCTTGAGATGAATGAAATTTCTGCGTCTGAGTCATTCTACAGAGGTATTCAAATTAGAAAAATACATGAACAACAGGATCCTTTTTTTGTTGTTTTGAGATTCATTGGAAGGCTACTGTTATAGCAGCTGTAGCCTTTTCTCTGAGTTGATTGCATATGACAATTTGAACCCTTGTAAAAATAAATTTAAAGTGTTCTATACAGTTAATGTAAGTAGGAATACAAAATGCCATGGTTACACTTGAGACCAGTTTTAAAGTAATACTTTCTTTGATCAGGCAATGATACACTGTCTTAATCCTAGGGATACAAGTTGATGACTTCTTACCTAAAATAAATGGGAACACAGAAAAAGGTAGTGTAAAAAACTTAAATATTTTTCTTTCATGATATCCTTTTACTATTTAAGCAGGATAGAGAAGTCAGGGTTTTAAGGTTTTAAGTGTTTGGAATGAAAAGCATGCTGTTCATAGACCATTGAATCCCTTTGTTTTGTAATTCTCAATACCATAATCTGTGGTTAGATATCCTATGTTGGATGGAATTTCTAATTATTCAAATAATAAGAAAATAATATAGCTTTCCCCCCACTATATTTTTTCAAAGAACTGTACTGTAATTTTCTTCCATCAAGTAATGCTTCCTGGGAATAATTGGCCCCCGTTGTTAATATTTGTTTCCTGGCCATGAGTTTATGTAGAAGCCCACTGAGCCCTTGAACATGTCAGAAACTGCTTTCTTATCCATCTGTTTCATAGATCAGAGAAAACAGGGACAGTGATTTCTACCATCTGAAAAATCCATTATTAGCTCTTGGTACTATAACCCTTTCTTCTGGATAACGTAGGTTACCTCTTGCCAAAAATCTACAGCCACTATTGGTTTTCCTACTACTGCATGGGGTACTTTTTATCCAGTGGCTTCTAAGTCCCTTCAGTCACAAAGATCCCACACACTCCACCCCTCCCCATCCATCCAGCATTAATTGAGCACCAGCTATGTGCCAGATTCTGCATTAAATGCTTGAAGTACAGAATGAATAAAACTGTTGTCTGTGTTTGCAAATCTATGTGCCTCTCATATCAGTTTTTATACAGAAGTTAGTGGACGATATCAAGGTCGATACCTAGAACTTCTTATTAAATATTTTTTCCATGTTTCACGGGATATCTTTGTAGTTCTTAAGCAGCAACCAAACTCTGATACAGTTAGGAGGTACTTTTTTTGTTAGTTTTGTTTTTGTTTGTTTGGTTGGCTTTTAATCAAGTACTAGCAAAATAGGCTCAGGTAATCATATATATGTAAGCTGCAAGGTCAAGACCTAATACTGAATGTATAATAAAATTTGAAACTAAATTTTTTAGAAGTTTCATTAATCATTGTTATTTGACTATTCTGTATATGTTTTGTAAACTATATTGACATTTAAAATTCCAGTTTGAGTTTCAGTTTGAGAATTTTTAAAGGTATAGTTTATATTCATTGTACCAATATTACTAATTTCTGTTTATTAAGTATATGCAGCGTACATATGTCAAATGACTTAATCCTCATCTTCTAAAAGCTTGTCATCCTTAAATTAATTTATGTTTTCTGTTGTATTTCGCCTTTTTTTGTCTTTCTGGCATGTACAGTTTTTATTCAAATCTATCATCCTTTTGATTTGATCATACATTTATTAATGTTAGTGTTAACTCAAGCTGGGAATATGCTATTCCTTCAGTTAAGAGAATCCTTTTATATATACTGAACCATCTTTATCCTATTTAGAGTTATCAAATTACTGCTTAAAATTTTTTGCCAGTTCTAATAGATATATATGAGAGTAGTTGTAGACACTGCTTGATTTAAGACTACATAAGATATTTTGGGTACTTTAAGGCACTCCTTGCTATAATTATTTTTCCCTTGCTGCTTTGTTTATTTTTATTTTTATTTTTTTAAAAGATTTTTTTATTGGGGAATTGGGGAAGGGGAACAGCCAAGTTGTTGTCCTTCAATTTTAGTTGTGGAGGGCACAGCTAGCTCAGCTCCAAGTCCAGTCTCCATCCAGCTGCCCATCGGCAGCTTGTGGCCACTCAGCTCAAGGTGCCCACCATCCCATGTGGGAGTTGAACTGGCAGCTTTGTTGTTAGGAGCACGTGCTCTCACCAGCTGAGCCATCCTGCCACCTGTTGGCAGCTCAGCAGCAGCTCAGCTTGGGCACTGCTCACTGGCCTATGGGGAATCAAACCCGTGACCCTCTTGGTCAGAGCTCATGCTCTCAACCAACTGAGCCACTCCGCAGGCCCCATGTTTTTTTCTTTTAGTGTTGATAAATTGAATAATGTGCGAGTGACTAATAGAATAACTTTAAAGAAACTGAGTGGTAAATACCTGCATAAAAACTTCAATATACTAGATTTCGTTACAGAATGGACTTTGGAATAAGATGGATCTATTCTGAATCATTTGTTATTGGTGATATAATAACAAACCAATTATCAAGTACTCCGCTATTACCAAAGTCAATAGTCATAATGGGCTGTCAGATATGATTTTAACTAAAATTACTCTTTAATTAGTAGAAAGAGAACCAAGTATAGTTGTAAGAGAATATTTCAAAAATGTCTGGAGATGTTAAGATTAAACTTCTCCAGTAAACCCTATTTTTGAAATTACTTCAATCTAACATAGCTGCTATAAGCACAGGTTTGTACTGTAATTGTTTTTTTTTTGTTGTATCTTGTCTAAGAAATATAATTTGAATATATCTTACAGGGTATAGAAAAGTGCTCTCTAATAGAAATATTATGAGAGCAACATATATACTTTAAAATTTTTTGATCACTATGTTAGAAATATAAAAATAAATAGGTAAAATTTTAATAATTTATTTTAATAATTTAATCCGCTATATCCAAAATATTGTTTTAACATGTAGTCAATATTAAATTATTATAAATGAAGTATTTCACATTCTTTTTTCCTTAGGAAGTCTTTGAAAGCCATGTATATTTATTTTACACTTAGCACATCTCACATTTTAAGAGCTCAGTAGCCATATGTGGCTAATGGTTACTGTATTGGACAACACAGGTATAGAAAATCAAAATTCATAGAAAACTTATATGTATAAATAAGACTAATTTTAAGTGTTGCAGCTCTCTGTTATGTTTCCGTATCTGTCTTTTTCCTCACATTTCCTATAACCCTATGTAGTATCATAGGCACACTGTTCTCCCTCATCAGCATCTGATTCCTTTTGCAGTGACATCTTTTATCGTTTTAGCAAAGTGAGTCCCCAAGGGCAAGAATTCAAGTAATGGAATATTAAAAGTGTCATGATCCAAATTCTTTACATATATTATCTGAAAGGCTTTTCTCTCATGTGTCTTAGATGCCTTTGTGGAAGGCATCTTTGATAATAATCTTGCATTTTATCTAAACTAGTATATGAAATATTTTAATGTAGTGTCCAAATATTAAAATCAGAGTAGATAGAAGGGTGACTTGGGACTTGTGGAGTGATGTTGGCATGTCCTGCATTAATAAATGTCATCTAAAGTCCTGTGATGTTAGTCTGAAAGTTGGTTTCAAATAAGTTTTCTCAAATCCTTTAATGAAGTTAAAATTTGGTTTCAAATGAGTTTTCGTATTTAACAGTGATGTTTGTATAGTTTGAGTTATGAAAATGTTATAGCTTAGATGGGCTTTATGTAAAACAACTTTTTATCTTATCTTGGTAATTACTGTTTAACTGAGGGTTCCTGTTTAGGATTTTTTTGGCTTCATTTGGCAAATGCTATGTATTAGATTTTTTTGTTTAATTTCATATTTCTATTGCAGTTAGCCTTTTTTTGTTTCTTTTTGGGACTATATTGTATTTATTCTAAGTATGTAATGCATTGGTCTCTAAAACATGAGTTTTATCAACCTTTTCCCCCATGTTTTTGTCTTTTACTGGTGGTGACTGTAGACTGGAGGTTCTGTATACATGTAACTAGATAAAGGATAATGATAGATTTGAGTATAAAAGTAAAGAAGAGGGCTGTCAGTAAGGATGCCAAGAGAGGTTGAGGAGAGATCAGAGTAGGAGATGCCTGCCTTTCAAGCAAAGTTGAGATGAAGAGGGGTGAAATGGGTTGACAGGGAGAAGAGAAAAAAAGGTTTTTACATTTTACAGTTAGAGTGGTACTACTAACTCATTGTCCTCTTTGATAGGTTTGAGTGCTTTCACACGTTCCAAGTAGTCATCATGGAGGATTTTTTTTTTTTTTTTTTTTGCTGAGCCATCCTGCTGCCTGTTGGCAGCTCAGCAGCAGCTCAGCTCGGGCCGGGCATCAAACCGCTGTTGCTCAGAGCTCGCACTCTTGAGTGAGCTCTTAACCAACTGAGCCACTCGGCCAGCCCTATGGAGGATATTTTTAACTGTTGAACTTCCAAAGTCTATTTGGTAGTTTTGAAAGATACAAATCTGTAATTGAAGAGTGTTATCCAGAGTTAGAAGTTAACTCTTTGAATCAAAGTAAAGATTATTATAAGAAAAGGGCTGAAACTTTTATTAAACTATTATATTAGATTCTGATTCTCTGCACCCATTAAAAAAAACAAAAACAAATTTTGTTTGACCTGAGCAAAACCATTTACCAAGCTCTTATTTTAAAATGTGTAGGCATTGACTTGGTCAGA